GCTTATGCCTGTGCCTAGGCAAAGGATCTGTGCCTACCCTGGGTTCCTGGCTTAGGGGAGCCGGCAGTGTATTTTTTCCCGTTTGTTAATTTGTTCACTCTCCAGGCAGGGAGAATGGCTCCGGGCGTGTGACAGATCCTGCTTCCAGCCCAGGGGACTCGGCAATTGCTGAAGCCTGTCTGGAACCCAGTGCTGAGCAGGGAGCGGATGGTAAATGGGAGAGAGGTTTTTCCCTAAGAGGGGTGTTTTTGATCTGTGCAGTAAGCGGTACACAAGTATTTATCTTTCACCCATGAGGGCTGCTTCTCACTGGTTCTGGGTGGCCATGTAGACTCTCTGGTGCTGGTTCTCTCCCGGTGTGGGAAATGCACCTCCCGAGCATGGCTGCTTGCCTGCCTTGCCGCTCACCCCCGAGCTGATCAGGCCTGAAGGGCTCACACTCTCGCCGGGTCAGGACTGGCAACTCTTTGCTGCTTTGGAACTGTCTCTCCCTCCCACTGTCACTCAGTCTGGTTCCTCAACTCTGCTTTGATGTTCAGGGTTCCCAGATTGCCGTATATAATCGAATCACTTGTCTTTTTGGGTCTTTGTTGTAAGAGGGTCCACTGGAAGCGTCTGACTACTGCACCATCTTCACCCTGCCTTTGTTCGATAATTTCTTCATTCTGTTCTATCACCTTCCTTTGGAATGGGCACAAATATGGATCTTTTCCAGTCAGTTGTCGAGGGAGCTGTCTTCCCAATTTCTTGGCATAGATGAGTGAACACCTTCAGCATTGCATCCATTTGTTGAAACATCTCGAGTGGTGTCCTGTCAATTCCTGGGGCCTTGTTTTTCACCAGTGCCTTCAGTGGAGCTTGGAATTCTTCCTTCAATACCATCAGTTCTTGATCATATGCTACCTCCTGAAATAGTCGAACATTGACCAATTCTTTTTGGTACAATGACTCTGTATTCCTTCCATCTTCTTTTGATGCCTCCTGCATCATTCAGTAGTTTACCCATAGAATCCTTCAGTATTGCAACTTGAGGCTTGAATTTTTTCTTCAGTTCCTTCAGCTTGAGAAATACCAGGCATATTCTTCCCTTTTGGTTTTGTAACTCCATGTCTTTGCATATTTCATTATAGTACTTTGTCTTCTCAAGCCACCCGTTGAAATCTTCTGTTCACCTCTTTTACTTCTTCATTTCTTCCTTTTGCTTTAGCTACTTGATGTTCAAGGGTAATTTTCAGAGTCTCTTCTGACATCCATTTTGGTCTTTTCTTTCTTTCCTGTCTTTTTAATGACCTTTTGCTTTCTTCACTTATGATGTCCTTGATGTCATCCCACATCACATATGGTCTTTAGTCATTAGTATTCAATGTGTCAAATCTATTTTTGAGATGGTCTCTAAATTCAGGTCATACTTTGGCTCCCATGTATTTGTTTTAATTTTCTTCAGCTTCAACTTGAACTTGCATATAAGCAATTGATGGTCTGTTCTGCACTTGGTCCCTGGCCTTGTTCTGACTGATGATATTGAGCTTCTCCATCATCTCTTTCCAGATGTAGTTGATTTGATTCCTGTATAATCCATTGGTTGAGGTCCACCTGTATAGCCGCTGTTTATATTGTTGAAAAAAAGTATTTGTAATGAAAAAGTCGTTGGTCTTGCAAAATTCTGTCATGTGATCTCCAGCATTGTTTCTATCACCAAGGCCATATTTTCCAGCTATGAACCCTTCTTTTTTGTTTCCAACTTTCACATTCCAATCACCTATAATTATCAATGCATCTTGATTGCATGTTTGATCAATTTCAAACTGCAGAAGTTGATAAAAATCTTCAATTTTTCATCTTTGGCCTTAGTGGTTAGTATGTAAATTTGAATAACAGTCATATTAACTGGTCTTCATTGTATGCGTATGGATATTATCTGATCACTGACAGTGTTATACTTCAGTATAGATCTTGAAATGTTCTTTGTGACAATGACTGTGATGCCATTCTTCTTCAGCGTGTCATTCCTGGCATAGTAGACCGGATGATTTTTCTGTTCAAAATGGACAATACCAGTCCATTACAGCTCAGTAATGCCTAGGATATTGATGTTTATGCATTCTATTTCATTTTTGATGACTTCCAGTTTTCCTAGATTCATACTTCAGGCATTCCATGTTCTGATTAATGGATGTTTGCAGCTGTTTCTTCTCAGCTTGAGTTGTGCCATATCAGCAAATGAAGGTTCTGAAAGCTTGACTCCATCCATATCATTAAGGTTGACTCTGCTCTGAGGAGACAACACTTTCCCAGTCATATTTTCAGTGTCTTCCAACCTGAGGGGCTCATCTTCCGGCACTAAATCGGACAATGTTCTGCTGCTATTCATAAGGTTTTCACTGGCCAAATTTTTTAGAAGTATATCACTAGGTCCTTCTTCCTAGTCCGTCTTAGTCTGGAAGTGCCACTGAAACCTGTCCACCATTGGTGATCCTGCTAGTATTTGAAATACCAGTGGCATAGTTTCCAGCATCACAGCAACATGCAGGCTACCAATGTACGACAAACTGACAGATGAGTGGTGGATACTGATACATGATTATTAACTAAAGCCCTTAGTTCACATTAGGTTGTACTCATTGTGTCGTATAGTTCTATTGGTTTTGACAAATGCATAATGCCATATAGCCACCATTACAATATCATACAGAATAGTTTCACTGCCATTAAAATGCCCTGTGCTCCACCTATTCACCCCTTCTCCACTTCTCCAGAATCTCTGGCAACCACTGATCTTTTTATAGCATCTATAGTTTTGCTTTTCTGGAATATCATACACTTGGAATCATATAGTATGTAGCTTTTTCAGACTGGCTTCTTTCACTTAGCAATACACATTTAAGTTTCCTCCATGCCCTTTTGTAGCTTGAGAGCTCATTTCTTTCCATTGCTGAATAATGGTCCATTGTATGGCTGTACCACATTTTGTTTATCCATTCACCTATTGAAGGACATCTTGGTTGCTTCCAATTTGGGGCATTTATGAACAAAGCTGCTATAAACATTCATGTGTTGTCTAATTTTTCTTTCTGATATATTTTTATGAAGAAATTGATGGCCCAACCAATGTGGTCACAGATCGAGTGACAGAAGGCACAGCGGCAGTCTCCTGGGACCCTGTGCAGGCCGTCATAGACAAGTACGTAGTACGTTACACTTCCCCCGACGGGGATGCCAAGGAGACAGCAGTGCACAAGGACCAGAGCAGCACCATACTGACAGGCCTGAAGCCAGGAGAGAAGTACGAAGTTCACGTTTGGGCTGAGAGGGGCAACCAGGAGAGCAAGAAAGGCAACACCAAGGCCCTCACAGGTAATGGAAGAACCAGAGCAAAATGAGGTTTCCTCATGGCTGGGGGAAGGTTGATTTTGAATCAGGAGGTATCAGCTCTTTGTTTCTTTGTAGGGGGTGGGAGAGAGGGTTGCAAAAGCAATTTCTGATTTCATAATTATGAATTTTCTTTTTTGACCTCAAACCAAAGAGACCAGCCTTTTTATTCATTACTGATGGTCATACTTATTTGTGTTGGAATTCCATATGCAACTCCCTCAGAGTAGAGTAATACTTTCTAATTTTCATTTTTGGATGTGAAAACTCAAAACATTTGGCTGACAGTGAATTTGAATGCTTATCTCAGTTTGCAGTGGCTGTACCAGCACTTCACATATTATCTGGAGCTCTTTCAGACCGTGGAAATGGTCTGCATCCTAGGTCAACATTAACCAAATGTACTGAGTCTGCCTTTAAGCTTTCAGAAACTATAAGGGTCCCCATTCTTCACCCCGTTGCTCCACTCAGCTTGGGCCTGCAGGTGTCCTGAGGCTGCCTGAGGAATAGTTTGGTCATTCGTTCTGCTTAAACCCTCCTCTGCCTTTGGCACTGTCCCATAATTCAGAGCAGCCTGATCCTGGAGCCCTCTTGAGGTTCCAGACACTTGACAGGAAATCATAGGAAAAGAATTCCCAGTTATGGAGAATAGATATTCTTAGAGAAGCAGTTAGATAGATTCTTAGGAGTACGGTTTAATTCCACATCTAGCATTTACTAGCTGACTGGCTTTGGGCAAGTCATTTCACCTCTGTTTGTCAATTTCTTATCTGTAAAATGGGACATCTAAGAGTATCTATTCATGGGGTTATTGTGAAGATTACATGAGTTAATTCATGTAAAGTGCCCGATAAACAGTGAGTGGTACATAAGTGATTTAAAAAAACAAAAAACAAACAAACTGCTGTCTAGTCAATTCAGACTCATAGTGACCCTATAGGACGGAGTAGAACTACCCCATAGGGTTTCCAAGGCCGTAATTTTTACAGAAGCCGACTGCCACATCTTTCTCCTGTGGAGCAGCTGATGGGTTCGAACAGACAACTTATCAGTTAGCAGCTGAGCACTTAACCACTGCACCAATAGCAATGATTGTTTATGAGAATATTAATCAACACTTGGCTCTTGAAATATTTTGTGGTACACAGTCTCCTAGATGTAGATGGGCCTTAGAGCTGAGGGGAGAAGGAGACAGTAAGGATGGTGAGGCCTAGATATGTTCAAAATTAGGGTCAATAAATTTTCTGTAAAGGGCCAGATAGCAAATATTTTTGTCTTTGTGGGCCGTTAGTTCTCTTGCAACTATTCAACTCTGCCATTGAAGTGTAAAGCAGAGATTCAAAACCAAAAACCAAACTCATTGCCATCGAGTCAACTCTGACTCATAGCACTATGTAAATTCACAGGCTGTGACTGTGTTCCAATAAAACTTTATTTACAAAAGCAGGCAGTGACGGGCCAGGAGGCCAGGGCTGTGGGCTCACAGCTCCATGGGAGGCGAGTGCCAGAAGACTTGGCTGGAGCCTAGGTGGCCAGGGTGCTCTCCCAGGGCAGGGCTGCTGGGCCCTGGCCCCCAGCCACCCACACTCCCCATGGAAAAGCAGCTCTATGCCCCCCCCGCCACAGGGTGGGCCCCCGTGTTGGCCTAGCGGAGGGGCGGCAGTTGGGTAGGGGGTGCCAGTGTGGCGTCTGAGCCTGGTGCAGGGTCTGGGTCAGGCAGGGCACCCAGGCAGGCGCGGTGACGGGAGCAGGGCCATGCCTTGCAAGAGTGTGGAGTGGCAGCAGGAGGAGCTGGCGGCGTGTGGCGGTGCGTCGTTGCTGCTGTTGCTGCTTGACTGCTGATGTACTCGCACATCCAGAGGGCCATCAACCTGGCCATCCCAGGCCTTATGCTGCACCACTGGTACAAGGGCAACCTGTGCATCCTCTCCAACATGCAGAGAACCACGCGGACAAGGAGTAGTTTGCTACACGCTGCAAGGCGGCCACCGTGCTGCTGTACGACGAGGCCACTGCCAAGTGGCAGCCCAAGCCCAGCACTCCTGCCTCTGTGCCTGACTCCTGCAAAAGCTGTGCGACCAGACTGCCAAGACTGCTACCTCCACGGTGGTTCAGCAAGTTCCAGATAGAGTGCTCCAGTCACTTCAGGACCAACGTGGACAGCTCATCCACACCCAGCGGCTCGCCACCCACCTCAGTGCTGGACCTATGAAGCCTATGCATCAGCTCTGACTGCTCAGATGACAAGTGAGACTGAGAGCTGCCCAGCAGTGCCACCAAGTCCGACGGCAGCCCTGTGCATCCAGCTGGCTGGCCTTGCCCATCCAGATCCTGCCCTACCTCTACCTTGACTCAGCCAAGGACTCCACCAAACAGGACATGCTCAGCAAGTACAGCATCAAGTACATTCTCAACGTCAGGCCCAACCTGCCCAACGCCTTTAAGTATGGTGGTGACTTCACCTACGAGCAGATCCCCATTTCTGACACTGGTGCCGGAACCTCTCCCAGTTCTTCCCCAAGGCCATCAGCTTCATTGATGACGGCCCTCCAAGAAGTGTGGTGTCCTGGTGCACCACCTGGCAGGCATCAGCCGCTGTGTGATGTTCACCGTGGCCTACCTGATGCAGAAGATGATCCTGTCACTCAACAATGCCTGTGACTTCATCCTGAGGGAAAAGTCCTCCATTTTGCCCAACTTCGACTTCATGGGGCAGCTGCAGGACTTTAAGCAGTCCCTGGGGCTAAGCAGCTCATGTGACAACCACACACCCAGTAAGAAGCTCCACTTCTCCATGCCCCCCAGCCACAACTGTTCCCACTCAACATGCTCCATGTGAGGCCAGGTGTGCAGGTGGCTGGGCCGCAGGGCACCTCCCGAGCCCTCCACAGGGCCGTCTGGGAGGGCCCAAGCCTGCTGCCTCTGGCCTGAGGAACCCCTCTGGCCTGATGTCACCTGTGCCCAGAAACCCAGGCTGATAGGTGGCCGAGCTTCAGTCACCATCCTGTGGGGGGCAGAGTGCACAGGCAAGGCCTCCCTCCACAGGACTTTCTGGACAAGCCCTCAACTCTCAGACACGTGGCTTTGGGGGCCCAGCAAGGCCTCACCCTTCCCTAGGATACTCCTTTCTGCTGATGGCCCAGCCAACTTGGCTATTTTTGAAATACACATCCATGGACCTGAGTTTCCTTTTTACTTTCGGCAGGTGAATCCAACCTCCCTGGAGCACAGAGAAAGTTCAAGCTCTTCTAATTTTTCTGTTTTTAACAAAAAGTGTTATTTCTAGCAACATGCAACAGTAGATTGTATAAACCAGTATTTCATCCCTAGATCCTGCAAGAGAGAGAAACGTTCTCAGTTTTGTTTTTCTATTTCAAAAAGTAATGATTGATATTTTTGTGTTTTTGTAATGGGAAAGACAAAACCTGTGTTGATCTTGACCACATGTGTTTGGTACATGTGTGAAGTCTCCGTTTCCATGGCAGGCCCTTCTGGAAGGGGTGGCTCACTGCTGTCCAGGCGTCAGACGCCAGTAGTGCCCACATCTCTGGCCCTCGGCCCAGCCCACTTGGCACTGCATTTGCCTGCGATGAGGGCTGCAGTTGTGATTGGTGGGCTGTGCCGAGGGGAGGTTTTGTATTCTGTGTCTTCCCTGCTACTGCCCTTCCACTCCCCAGGCAGGAGGTAGGGGCCCTGCCCTGCTGGAGGTAGGGCCGTGGGAGACTGCCAAGCAGTAGCATTAGCCCCGGGGGTTAGCACCTAGGAGGGCCTGGACCCCAGGCCCTTTTATACACTCTACCCACTACTTGTGTCTCTTTCTCTCTTTCTTTCTGTCTATTTGCAACTGGGAGTGGAGGCCCAGTGGCCAGGGAAAGCTTAGGTAGATGGGGGCCCAGCTCTGCCTCCCAAGTTCCTTCCCCTTCCCCTGGCTATTGCTTTGATCCCGCTACCACTCTCAGCCCCTTGTCCCCATGGACGCCTGTACTGCTCTCATCTTGCTCATGCCTTCTACTACCAGGAAACTGGCACCCATTTCCATCCCTGGGCAGGGGCAGATGGAGCAGGGATGCAAGTAGGCACCTTGTACAAGTGGAAGGGCTATGAGGCTCTTGTCCACCCAACCCCACCCTGAATATCCACAGAACAAAGCCACAGATTCCCTTATCCTACTCCACTTTTGTTCCTTCTCCAGCCTTGGTTCTGGCAGGTGTTAGGACTGTCTAGGGGCCCAGGTGGGTGTTCCTGAGGCAGCCAGCACTCAGCATGTGAGAGAAACCACAGAAACTCTGCCCCCACTGCGTCTTATCTCGCAGAGGCTGTTTTCAGGGATTCTCTAGGGCATTGGAGTAAATTCTTGCCACAGCTGAGAATGTAGACAACAAGCTCCCATGCTGTACACGGTTCACTTTCTCTCGCTCTTTTTTATTATTAAAAGAAAAGCTCAGAAAGACACAACGGACTTGTGTAAATAAGGGTATGCTGAGAGGGTGGCCAGTTTTGCTTTATGATCTTAGGAAGGAAAATTTGTCACTCCACACACACACACACACACACACACACACACACATCCCGAACTAGCAATGGGACTTTGTTTATATTGCAAATACATACTATTTTTTCTTTTTTTAAAGAAAGCAGGCAGTGGTGAGATTTGGCCCACTGACCATAGATTGCTGTCTCCTAGTTTAAATTATGCATGGCTTTCTGTTTAATATGATAGTAACTGTTGCAAAGAGAAAGAGCATATGGGTCCATCTCTTTAAGACAGAGGAAATTGGAATGGAGAGGAACATTGTATTCTCTCAGGTGGGGATGGTGTAAGCCCCCCAGCGTATGGGGAGCTACTGGGTGGTAGTATTGCTGGGGGTGTCAGGCACTGAGCTGAGCTCTAGGGGATAAAAATGAAGGACGCAGTACTTGCCCATGTAAAGTTCACAACCGTCTAGGTAGAGATGATACGTAAAAGGAGAAAGTACAGTGAGCTATGGTCTAAGGTGGAAAATGTCCCTGGTGCTATGGGAACCTGAAAAAGGGTACCTGCCTCAGACTGGGATGGGAGAGGGGTTGCTGCAGGACATCCAGAGGAGGTGACACCTGAACAGAGCCTTGGAGGGTGGGTGGGAGTCAGCATCAGTGTGAGAATATGACAGGTCGAGGAATGTTCAGTGTTTTTTATGGTGGATGAGTGGCGAAGTGATGCAGCAGTGATAGATGGGGCTGGAGCGTTAAAGGCGGCTGTCTTAGTTACCTAGTGCTGCTGTAACAGAAACACTACAAATGAGTGCCTTCAAAGAACAGAAATGTATTTTCTCACAGTTCTGGAGGCTAAAAGTCCAAATCAGGGTCTCAGCCTTGTCAATTCCTTCTGTGGGTCTCTCTCCTAGTTTCTTGTGTCTGCCAGCCATCCTTGGTGTTCCTTTTCTTGTAGATGCGTCCTCATGTGACTTTTGTCTTCCCGCTGTGTGTTTCTGTGTCTGTTCTGCTCTTTTATAACTCAGAAGTCATTAGGTTTAGGGCCCACCCTACTCTGGTATGACCTCAGAAAATACTGTATTTTTATGCAGATAACACACGTCTTCTGCGTTTTTTTGCTAGCTGTGCCTTCCCCTGTGAGATATTTTTGTAAGCGCCCTATGCTAATTTTTTTTACAGCAACATGTGAAGAGGATTGGCATGGTGGCACTTCTGAGGGTGCCTCGCGGGGGTGGGTGGTGGGGTGAGGGTGCGGCGAGCAGACAAATGCAGAAGGCACGTGTTATTTGAGTAAAAATATGGTAACTAAAGAAAAACCCAAACAGGATCACATCCCCAGGCCCAGGGACCAAGACTTTAATACATATTTTAGGGGACACAATCTAATCCATAACACCAACAGAGTTCCAGGAGCTAAATTGTTTTGTTCTTGTATGTCAGATGTCTCTGGTGCTTTCTGAATAGCGGTGCCCCTTAAGGCAACTTACCAAACCTGGCTATGCAGTACATTCCACTGAGCTGGGGCAGCCATGCAGCCATGCTTGGCAAGTGATGGTGGGTAGGTTGGAAATGCAGTTGCTGTAACAGAAAACTCAGCCTTTTGTGGAGGAGGTTTTTGAAACAGGATAATAAGACATACTAATCACAATAACAACAACAGTCATGCACCCAAATACTTGGGTTTCTGACTCTATGGAGAAAATGGTATTTCATACCTAAAATGAAAGTAATCATTACAAATAGCTTATATTTAAGCATCTACTATGCAATTTCTCATTTACTATTCACCATAACCTAGGAAATAGATACTGATATTTTTGTTTTTGTATTGAGGAAACCAAGACTTAAATTATATTGCTTGTCTAACTAAATTCACCAACCAGGAAATGGTGAAGCCCAGGTCTAACCCAGTATAATCACATAGAAAGCCAGACAGCTTTTATTAGTACGATTATTTTGATCAGCCCAGACCTCAAATACCATCAGTTTAAAAGCTTCGTGGTTCCCTGGCCACAGACATAATGTTTTATGTGCAGAGAACTGACAGCTTCTACTCCCAGGATAGTTTTCTTCCCAAAGAGCACATTAGAGCAGACACAGAAATTTATTAAAATATAATTGCTTTGAGGTGCAAGGAATCAGGAACTGAAAGAGTGTATTATATAAATCCAGGAAAAAGGATAAATTTGTATATGAAGACCAAATCCTTTTGTCCAAAGGCAACTGGTGGGAAAAGTTTATAGAGATGAGACTAAACATTGACTTTGTCTGAAAACCCTACTTCTCATTAAATGCTATTAGCTTATTTATAGAATTTTAGACCACTTGCTTAATTAAATTCCTAAGTTATTCCAATCATTGGCATCTAGCAGACTCTGAAATTTGTTGAGGTTATCACTTGGGCTGTGTATATATTGTCCTTTTAGGAATTACACCATACAAGCTGCCGTGAGTTGATTCAGACTCACAGCAACTGCATGTGTGTCGGATTAGAACTGTGTTCCATAGGGCTTTTCAATAGCTGATTTTTTGGAAGTAGATTGCCAGACCTTTCTTCCAAGGTGCCTCTGAGTGGACTCAAATCTCCAACCTTTTGGTTAGCAGTTGAGTTTATAAACCCTTTCTACCACCCAGGGTCTCCTTTCAGGAACTAGACATTGGGTAATGCTACATTCTTCTTTTATCTCTCTCTTAAAGAAATTGACAGCCCCAAAAATCTAGTGATAGACCGGGTAACGGAGAACACAGCTTCCATCTCCTGGGACCCAGTGCAGGCTGCCATCGACAAGTATGTGGTACGCTACACCTCTGCGGACGGAGAGACCAAAGAGGTTCTGGTGGGGAAGGATCAGAGCAGCACGGAGCTCACGGGCCTGAGGCCAGGTGTAGAATACAAGGTGTACGTGTGGGCCCAGAAGGGGAACCGTGAGAGCAAGAAGGCTGACACCAAGGCCCCAACAGGTAACAAGAGAAGAGAACGGGTAACTGTCTTAGTCACTGAGGGGGTATAAATTGAAATTGAATTTTGAGCCTGTGGGTTTGCGTGTGCATGGTACCACAGGATGTGGCCTGAACTGAGGAACTTTGTAGTTAGAAGTCTTATAAAGATCAAAGAAAGACAGTGAGCTATAGTGGGGATCACGGGGACTGCTCCTCCCTGACAGCGAGGAGCTGTTCCTGAAGCTGCTCAGCCCACAAGAAGGGAGAAGTAACGTTGTGTGGTAGCCGTGTTCTTATCAGACTCAGCAAAGATGTTTAAAGGATCTGATTATTCCATTGCTTCTGATAATTTTTTTAAAAATAGACTTTATTTTTAAAGGAGTTTTAGGTTTCCAGAAAATTTGCACAGAAAGCACAGAGAGTACCCATAACCCACCCTACTCCCTCTGCAGTTTCTCCTATTATTAACATCTTGCATTGGTGTGGTACATTTGTTACAGTTGATGAGCCAATACTGATACATTGTTTTTAACCAAAGTCCATAGTTTACATGAGGACTCACTCTTTGTGTTGCACAGTTTGGGGTTTGACAAATTGCTTAAGGTCATGTGCCCACCATTACAGTATCATGCAGAATAGTTTCACAGCCCTTATAATGTCCTGTGCTTCACCTCCTCACCCCTCTTCCACTCCCCTTGAGCCCCTGGCAACCACTGATCTTTTACTGTCTCTACAGTTTTACCTTTTCCAGAATGTCATATAGTTGGAATCGTACAGTATGTAACTCTTTCAGAGTGATTTCTTTTGCTTCCATAAACCCGTTGCCATTGAGTTGATTCTGACTCATAGTGACCCTACAGGACAGAGTAGAACTGCCCCATATGGTTTCCAGGGAGCGGCTGGTGGATTTGAACTGCCAGCCTTTTGGTTTGCAGCCAAATGCTTAGCCACTGCTGTGTGCATTTAAGGCTTCTCCATGTCTTTTTGTGGCTTGATAGCTCATTTCGTTTTATTGCTGGATAATACTGCATTGTATGGATGTACCACAGTTTGTTAATTCATTCACCTATTGAAGAGCATGTTGGTAGCTTCCAACATTTGCCAGTTATGAATAAAGCTGCTATAAACATCTGTGTGCAGGTTTGATAATATTTTTAAAATGCTCATCAGTGAAGTAGCCCTTGATAAAATGATAAGTAAATTAGATACTGAACATCAGGGCAGATGTTAAGTGGTGGTTTTGATGTGCATAGTGCAGCTCAGTAGAAATTATTCCTCCCATACTTTAGGGAGCTGTAAGCCAAGAAGTTATCTCAAGTTTATAATGATTAGTCCTTTGAAACTCAGAACCAGGAGTTACTTGTTCCCTCAACTCCCGTCTGAGACCCAGGCGGGGAACACCATTGCCTTGTGCCGAGAAAGCTCTGGAACATGAAAATCATCATTATGGGGTGTGGGTATGTCTTCCACAGCTTCAAAACTTAGGCATTTCCAAACATTTTCTTAAAGAAATTGACAGCCCCAAAAATCTGGTGATGGACCGGGTGACGGAGAACACGGCTACTGTCTCCTGGGACCCAGTGCAGGCTGCCATTGACCAGTACATGGTGCGCTACATCTCTGCGGATGGAGAGACCAAGGAGGTTCTGGTGGGGAAGGATCATAGCAGCACGGAGCTGACGGGCCTCAGGCCGGGCATGGAATACAAGGTGTACGTTTGGGCCCAGAAGGGGAGCCATGAGAGCAAGAAGGCTGACACCAAGGCCCCAACAGGTACTGGAGCTCACATTATCATGTGTCATTGCTAGGCCTATGGTTTGCCAAGGATGGTTTTCTTCTCTGACCTTGGCAGAAAGGGAGATTTTATGGAAGAGCAGGTTGGTGTCCCTCCATAATAACCTGTACACCCCTTACTTCCTTTTAATGGCTCCTCTTAAAATGAGTATCTCATATTGTCATCTCCAAGCTTTGATCTTTAAAGATTGATGATTATTGCCCATAGTCCCCTGCTCTTCCTCTGCCTGCATCTTCTTTGTTATTAACACACGAAATACTTCACCTTGATAAGGGATACATGTGAATAGAGCACAAGTAACCACATGCTGAAAGAGGCAGGCTGGTGAGTTGTGATTCCAAAACTTAGTGTTTTTCCTTCTTGTCTGTTTAAACTTTTTCTTCTTTTTCCTTATGTTGCTTTGCATTCATCTCTCTATGTGTATTTTTTAAATTATTATTGTATTTTAGATGAGGGTTTATAGAGCATATTAGTTTCTCATTAAACAATTAATACACATATTGTTTTGTGACATTGGTTGCCACCCCCATGACATGTCAGCACTCTCCCCTTCTCCACCTTGGGTTCCCCATTACCAGCTTTCCTGTCCCCTCCTGCTTTCTTGTCCTTGTCCCCGGGCTGGTGTGCCCATTGAGTCTCATTTTGTTTTATGGGCCTGTCTAAATTTTGGCTGAAGGGAGAACCTCAGGGGTGACCTCAGTACTGAGTTAAAAGGAATTCAGGGGACCATACTCCTGGGATTTCTCCAGTCTCTGTCAGACCAGTAAGTCTGGTGTGTGTGTGTGTATGTGTGTGTGTGTTTTTAATAAGTTAGAATTTTGTTCTACATTTTTCTCCAGCTCTGTTTGGGACCCTCTATTGTGATCCCTGTCAGAGCAGTCTGTGGTGGTAGCCAGGCACCATCTAGTTGTGCTAGACTCAGTCTGGTGGAGGCTGTGGTAGTTGTGGTCCATTAGTCCTTTGGACTAACATATCCCTTGTGTCTTTGGGTTTCTTCATTCGCTCTTGCTCCGGACGGGGTGAGACCAGTAGAGTATCTTAGATGGCTGCTCGCAAGCTTTTAAGACCTCAGATGCTACGCACCAAAGTAGGATGTAGAACATGTTATTTATAAACTGTTAGGCCAATTGAGCTAGATGTTCCCTTGAGACCATGGTCCCCATAGCTCTCAGCCCAGTCATTTGGTCCCTCAGGAAGTTTGGATGTGTCTATGGAAATTTAAACCCTTTCTATGGAGCTAGTTTTGATTTCTGCTCTTTGGATGAACATTTTAGGCAGAAATCATAACATTTTAATAATTAAAAATAAATATCTAGTCACTTTTATTCACAAAAATATGTCATTTTAGCAATTAAAATGTCCATTTCCATGTAATAGTACATATTTCATTTAAAGTGAAAACTTTTCCTCTTCATCAGCTTGGGTCACTTAAGGGTGAACTGCCTGCTTTGGGAAGGGGGATATGGTTGATTTCTCTTGTATTTCCATCCTTGTGTTTCAGACCTGTTCTCTCCACTTGCTAACAGCAGTTTCTGACCCATTTATGTTTGGTGAAGCTGGGAGGGAGGAGAGGTAAGGGTCAGGAGGGAGGAGAGGTAAGGGTCAGGAGGGAGGAGAGGTAGGGGTCAGGAGGGAGGAGAGGTAGGGGTCAGGAGGGA